CGGTACAAGTAGGACATTTTAACATAGCACTCTGTGAATATTTATTTATTCTTCACATTTGTGAGCCATGCATCCTTTTTCTTAAAATTTCGACCTTCACTTTATCTGAGAAACCTTTCCGGAAACAGTTGCCGTTGAGAATCCTTAACTTTCCAGGTACAAATTTAATATGAACAAAAGGGTTATGATCTGTGTGGCGGTTCGGTTCCAGGACTCATCGGGGTCTAATTCAGGCAAAACTTTCCCCTGTTTTCCGAGGAAAAAATTCAAAGCAGAGCAATTGGTTCATGAAACTTGCTTTCTATTACTGAAACTATAATGCAAAATTTCCAACCCTAGTTAGATGCATGTATATAGGTACTACCTGGAGATTTTGCTCCCCATCACTGGACAATTAACTTGCATGTAAGAATGAGCCATGAACTTAACCCTCGACCAATGATTTCTTAATCAAAATCTAGTAGATTTCATAAGCGCTCACACAAAGAACACTTGCACTACTCCACAGCTGTCTCGTAATTTTATTGGATGGATGGAAATCAACAACGATAGAGTAGAAGTGGAACTAAAGCTCAATGAGAAAACATCATTAACATCAAAGTCCTCACATTGATCACACCTAATCATCACTTGAAGGCTGTTGTCTTGATTTTGGCAGCTGTGGGAAACATGGTCGGCATCAAGTTTCTGTTAACGGTAAAATAATCGTATCTCCTCGTGCTCCGTGAAAATTACATGCTAGTGAACCTGATGTCTTCCATCTACTTCATTATGTTTAAAGATGCAGAACTCGTTAGCCTTTATTTTAATATTTCCTATGCACTTGTGTATACCTCTGCAATAAATATATAAATGCTGTTGCATCGGTAATGCAAGTTTCTGATGGTGGCAATTGCCACCGCAAGGGCCGATGGGGTTAAATTGGTGGATCTCAGCAATGAAGCACTTAAAGGCACGCTCCGGGATTAGGCGCGCTCGCCTGTTCCATCCCGGGGGTAGTAGACAGGCGGACAAGCGTTGATGTCGCGCCCCTTTTGCCGCTTGAAAGTGCGCGACAAAGGCGCAAGGAGCTCGTCCAACCCGCAACTCACACCTTCGTCCGCAAGCCCCACCCTTCCGCTGTCGGTTGCCACGTGGCGCTGCTTGAAAAGCGCGGGCGCATTTGAGGCCGCGATCCAATGTTATTGGCACTGGAGCAGCTAGAGTTAGGTTCGTGAAACTCGTCCAACGTGCCCCTTCCCTATTCCACTTTGGAATGCTGCTAAAATAGGGGAAGTCGTCTGCTGTCCTTCTCTTTTCCGGAATGCTTCTCACCTTCTAGATTACATACTGAACGCTTTCTATTTTATACGAATCTTGCCTTCAGCCTGTGAGCGGGGAAGTTTTAATGGATTTCCTGCAGATCCCGGTCCTGTTTAAGGGGATCTAGCTCAATAGCAAGTAAATTCCGGAGAATCGGACACATCACGGATTGCAAGTTCCACAATGTAAGCGTAAAGAAGCTGAAATACTATGTTCAATTTCTAGGACTGCTCTTGTTCATTTTAAAATAGAACATCGTAAACACCTTACTGATAAGCTTGACAGATTGAATGAAGTGATGAAGAACCCTAACAAGAATATGAAGATACCTGCAGCGACGGTACGTAATGTATTACACAGAGAAGTTCTTCAGAACAAAGTATATATACACAAAATGAAACAGACAAATGACCTTAATGGAGGTTCACATTCACAAAACTCGGTCTCTCTTTTTGAAACTTGAAACTCGGTCGGAATTTTCGGCGTGGAGGGGATGGGAGGGGACGATTGATCGGATCGTTACGCATAACAAAGTAGACTAGGCTTGAAGAAATGGCTGAATTGTTCACCGCAAAAGATGAGGCATTTACTACTGATATCGGAGAGTTGGGGTAGACGTGTCACGGAAATGACGTGGCCATCACCGCACTTGATAGAGGCTGTGTGGATAAGCTGCTTCCAACATACCGCTGGATATCAGCAAAGCCATGCTGACAACAGCTTATCCACGCAACTTCTATCAAGTGCGGCAGCAGTCACGTCACTTCCGGTGACACCCCAACTCTCTGATATCGAAGTACGGGCAAATACTTTTTTTTACCCAAATAAGAGTCCTAACTGGTTCTGTGTCGTTATCGCGACCCTTCCCACCGACAAAAAGGGCTTCAAAATTGAAAGAATTACGTCCCCTAGTAATTAGACATGCCATCGAACTTCACATTTCCGCAGAAAGCAAGGTAAACACCACAAAGCAACCCGACCATCCGGCTGGACTCAACGACCGAGAGTCTAGGTAACGTAATTATTACCCTTATCGAAGAACCCAGAGCACCTATCGCCAGAAACCTCACCGATATTGTCCCGATTAGAACACTGATTGCAACCGCCTTTACGAAGTGAGTCCAACGAAAAAAACACAAATAGAGCGAAATTTGATCGTGAAACAAGAAGGTGGTGGTCATTCTGGATCGCTTTCTGGAGTTCTCAAACGCATCTCCTCCGATGGTGCGATTGTGAATGAGCCGTCTTCACCCGTTGTTTTTGCTACTGCTTTCTTATCCGCCTTTCGCTTTCTCTCCTCCGATCGTTGAGCCTAAAATTCTTTCAATAACAGTATTTGATCACAATGTGCTCCAAAGCTCCATAACTGATAAAGCCTACAGCGAAAAATCTCAGATTCCTCGAAATTGAGGAAGCAAGAGAGAGGAAGATCAAATTTTCACTATTTCACATAAAAAGACATATAAAACAACAAATGACACTGAACAACCTCCACCGTTGGAACAGAGATCACATTTTGACGAAGAAGCGATTACCTAGCATGATGGTGAGCCACGGCCACGCAACTGGAAACGCTATGATGGCACTAGTTCAGCTCTCCAAATGAACGCATCTGTCAGCCCTTCATATAACCTCTCATATCAACTCCAACTTACGAGCTTCACAGCTGCTCAGCACAGAAATGGTTAAGCAGTACCAAAGTTTGGCTAAGCAAACACCGTTGAAGGCTCAATCGGAAGTGGAATGGCCCACATTTAATTGAGCCTTCAACGAAGCTCACTTAGCCAAACTTCGGTGCTGCCTAACTATCCTTCGTTTGCTGATCAGCAGTGAGGCTCACTTGCTCGCCTTACATCAAGGCTGTTTCCTTAGTTCATCTCCCGCATCTGGCCAGCCCTCTTTTCGAATCCTCACTTACACCGATAAATACGTTACGCTCGACATTCTGAGCCTTCAACAACTAAAAAATACCTTATTTGATTTCCATGCCTCAAGCTCGTCCGCCAATGGAGTAACGATGTGATCACATTCAATAACTTGAAGAGCCTGAAATGAATGCGCTGTGGTCAATCAGGCATTGATACTCATGAAACACTGCCTGCTAATTAAACAAAAAATGAATGAATAAATATAAAACCAGAAACAAGCTCGCAAATGCCTGAAAATGAACACTTATGTGTCCTTCAAATTTAAGTTTACGGTAAAGGCCAAGGTTTTCGATCGAAATTAAGTTATTCCTCAAGAAACATGTGGCAGCGGATGCGCATCTGACAAACGTGTATCATTATTCGGGACTGAGGCGAAGGGCGTAAGGCCCTAAGGGCAGCATTGGCCACGCGAAGAAGTCGTGCTACTCGCATTCGCTGCTACCGAGATGGTTTATTTTGGATGTGGACTGTTGTTCTACGTTTTTCCTTTGTTGGTGTACAGTTCAATATCCACTCCACTTGCATAGTTGGCAATACATACATGCATTCATTTCCGGACTTTGCTTTTAATGTATGAAAGGCAAATAATTGCTTCAAAAAAAAAGCCATGGAAATATCGCTGATGGATGCGAAGACGGTCATCAAATACAAACAGTGCTCTGTCAATATGAGCTAACATTGATATTATATCTCAGCTGCAAATTTTCGCTTTCTTCGTACAGCATATCATTGGCATTAGATCTTGACGTTGAGATGAGACTTGAAATTTAAAAGATTTTACACCCATAATTCTATCTAATTTTTCTCATTGATCCAGTTTTGTAAGTTCGCCTTAGAGAGAGAATAATGTGAAATTTCTGTCCAAATTCAAGGCGAACTGCGGTAGACAGACTTAAAAACACAAACAAGACAAATCTGCCCGACCATTTCTGTTTGAGAATTGGGTTTTAGGTACGAGAGCGCTTGGGAGTATACGATACTATCTGCGAGAAATAGTGACGATACCACGGGTTTGATAAGCCAGGAGAGAGCGACTTTTTCGCTTTTTGCAGCGCGAAATTTGTTCACTACGAGAACCTCAAGTCCACCGCTGATCAAGAGTGGTTGGGGTTTCCACAGCGAGAAGTTTTGCACTGCAAAAGAGGTAAAAGTCGCTTCTGTCGTGGCGAACCACACCCCCGTACCACTCACGACAAGGGTGTTTCTACAGCAAAGCCTCATCACCTCCTCTACACAATCAGACCATGTTCATTATAACAATAAAAATTAGAAGGAAAAAATCCAAAAACGACTCACAGACGCAGCACGAGCAATCGCTGTCCGAGCTTCCTTCGACACAGTTCCTGTTGGTCCGATAGCCTTGTCGACTATTCGGCTCACAACCGCCGCAGGTAATCGTAGGTCTTCAATTTTTGTATCGGTCATCACTTAAAATCTTTACCCTTCAAATTTGAAGAATTTTGAGTAAAACAGGAAAAATGTGAATGTGCGAATTTTAATTCCAACACTAGGAGTATTTCACCATTCCAAAATAACTCAAAACAAAAATATTCAAAATATAGTCATTCAGGTAAATCTGTTTTGGAATATATTTGGATGAGTAAAAAATCCCAGCGAGGAACTGGTAGCAATGGTATATCAGGAGACCACGGACTCAATAAGTGGGAAATATTGGAAAATATCAGCATAAAATGATATATTTATTACTATAACAATCACCAACATATTTGATGTACAATATTAAGACACTCTTGGGTACAACTAATTCAATACCCTACAAAAGAAAATAATACTTTAGTTCGTCATAGATCTCGCCTAATTTGAATAATACATACGAACCACACACGTCGAATATGACTATGAAATTGTACTCCATAAAAAGCTAAGTAGACAAGTGCCAGAATTGGAGGAAACAGGAAACAAGTAGAGCGATAACGAAAGATTGTGTGGCAGTATGTAGATCTACTATACAAATAAGCTCCTCTCTATAACAAAATTTGACATATTTTGGAAGGAAAGTTTATGAACAAATCATGGAAGTGTACAAACAATATCGCCTTATCATTTATCTCGTGTGTCTGACGACAAAGTAATTCGCTAAACGTTGAGACTAACACATATGCTCAACCCTGATAAGCTTATAGGAAGCAAAATAAACAGCCAAACAAGAACAAAGGCAGCAAATATTACCGGGTTGAACGAATAGAAGATCCTACTTACGACTTTTCACTGAGAATAGTGAGATGTTGAAGGCAACTGACATCCAAGAGCTTCAAATTCAATCGTTCTCAATTCGACAGCTGTTAGATGAAGGCGAGCATTTTGGATACTGCTGAAATACGAAATTTTTCAATATATTTTGCCAGTTTTCCAGTCTTCTTATTTTTCATTTGGGAGAGTTGAGAATAATTGCAATATTGTTGGCTGTTAGCGCGTATTTATTGGAAAAATTCATATCTTAAAAGGTTTTCGGGCAAAATATGTTACGATTGATGGAGTTGTCCATTATGAGCCATTCCTCCGCCTTCGGAAAATGTAGCCTACACACACTAGCTTCCCCGCTCAACCGAAAAAAAACGGGTTGAAGTGTCAAATGGGAACAGAGGAGTGGCAAAGACAACAAAGCATATCTTATGCACGTTTGTGCATGCCGAATGAACTTCACAGCAACTGGACTGCAAAAAAATAGCCGTGGCATGCTTCTAAGAAGCGCCTTGGGCACACGAATCTGGTTATACCGTCAGACGGTGATAGCTTGACAAGCGTAGTAAGTTTGGTTGCAAAAAACTAAACAGTTAAAAAGAAGGACAAAAAAGACCAATAAGGTGCAGGACAAGGGTGACAGCGTTGAAGTCGGGCGAAAATTGTGTCCCACTAAACGCAGCAGGTCCTGCTATTGACCCAAAGCTGTCTATCTTAAGCGAGGTTTGAAAATATGAATTGCTCTTTTATGCATAAACGCTAAAAAAGGGCTCACTCTCTGCTGCCTATGTGCAAAAAGATTCTGAAATATCCCATTCACATTCAATCAATCCTACGCCTTCCTTCTTTTTTTGCTTCCCTGACACCGCCCACCAGTTCAGTTCTCAACACAGCGCATTTGGTGAGACGGGCCACCTACTATCAGAGCAGGAAGAAAAAACCTAAAGGTCGGGCACGATTCGTGGCTTTGGTTAGCCTTGATCGTGTAGTTTCAATAAATCAGGCATGCGCTATCATACCATTTCTTTGAAATAAACAATGAGAAACAGCAAAATAAGCTCACCCTTAGATTCGGATGGTCAAGATCTCCTCGATTATTCCCTTTGGATCCAACTGGCGATAAACCCGCACCAAAATTTTTTACACAAGCACATCGTTGTTGTTTTGTGTTTGGATCGTAGAGTAACCTGAATATTTTTCAAATTGCTGACAATGGCTTCGAAAACGAAACTCAAGGTTGGGGAAAATACAAGCACAGAAGTCCATCATGAAAAGTCGCACCTTGGTACTCCAGCCCAATCTCGTTGAATGCCTCCACTCTTCATGGAACACCACACCCGCCCTCCGCTATTTTGATGCCATTCGCTGTTACATGGTGGGAAAACCTCACAAAATGTAGATTTAGTGACAGCGATACCACAACAAAAAACAAATACTAATAAAAAAGCTACAAGCTAATAAGTAGCATTCGATTGAGGGAAGGAAAACAAAGAAATGCTCAGCATATGAAAACAATTGGAAAATAAATATCTAACCTCAGCTTCTGCGGCCCTGGAAGCTTTCCATTCAGCTGCGGTTTGCATACGGCCTAATACCTGAAGTAATGATCAATATTCAGTTCAAAAATAAATAAAGTATTACAAAACAAAACAACATAAAGTATAGGCGACATGACGTAAACAGAACTTTAAGAACGTACATCGCGTAGCTCCTGCGTTGGCTGTCCATTAGCATCATAATACCTACCAACAAGAACACCGACCAACTTGTAGTCTTTCTCATAAAATGAGATCCAATCACGAATTCCTGAACCATAGAAAATCCAGAAATGAAGATCTGAGGGAGAAGTAATCAGTTTTATCGTGCGCCGCAATGTGTAAACCTACCTAACAAATCATCATGAGAAAGCCCATCGGTATTATCAACCAATCCACTTTCCGTGAAATCACCACTTACGAACGCCCTCGTAGCGTCGCGCCCTAAAAACAAGTGCATGCAAAGAATGTCGACAAATATCCGCTATTCAGTGCCCTGTCCGACTGGACACAGCGAAATGACGAGGAATATGAGACGTCCAAATGGTTGCTGTCTAGCTCACGTTATGTGTACTTTTCCTACTGGATCTCGACAAGTACCTATTACTTATTGGATGCCCTTTCCTGAGTGAACTTCGCGTGACAACTGTCGCCGACACTACCCTACACTCTCTACCATTGTTTCTCGACAATAAAAAGGAATAGATTCTCTACCTCTCACTAAGCCACCTCTGCAAACAAATGATGAGCCCCTAAAGTTGAGACGAGGATCGCGATATTGTGCATTATTGACCCCGCCCACAATATCGAAGTATTAGCGAATATTATCAATGACAGCCACGCGTCGCATTGGTGAGCTTTCCTCTGCAGTCGCAGATTTTTTTCAGCCCTCACATCACATTGCCACGTTCGTCAAGATTCACGCTACTTTGGAAAATTCTTCAGCATTTAGAGCAAGTTCTAATATGCGGTATCATTTAACGTCTAAAGAGCATCAACTTCATTAATAAACCCTAGAGACGCAACAGGGACAGCTCTCATTTAGAATTAATCTACGTTCTTGCTGTGGACCAGAAAGAAATATCGAAAACGTAGTAGTTGGGCGTAAATTCACACTAGCAATCGATATAGGGATAACAATAAGGCAGAGCAATATAGATAACACATAGTGAGATATAGACAGACTCAAGTGAGTATTAAGTGTATTCACAACAACCGCTCACCTGCAAAGAAGTGGTAGCCACCTCCTTTCCCGTAATGTTTCCTCCCCTTTTCAACATTGTATATACGGCCAAGGATTGCCAAGTAAACAGGTCTGAAGGAACCTCAGATGATAGAACAATACATTTCATTTTTTTTTCGCCCAGCAAAATCAAACCGCTAGAAGCAACTTTAGAGCCAGTAATAGAACGAAGCAAGTTCAGGGCGAAAGGGGTCCAAGGAGTCACTAGCACTCCATGTTCTTCAACTCAGCCTGTTTACCTTTGCCTTGGCTAAATGCAAGCAATGATTCCCTCGATTGATGTAGAGCCAGCCAACAGACAGCCAAAGTCAGGGTTATAGGGGCTAGTAGGCTCTTGAATCCTTATAGTTCCAACCTTTTCTGGTCTTATTACTGATTAGTGAAGCACCTCCAGTGTTTCCTAAACAAAAATAAGTTCGAGGCATAGATCGGTGAGGAAGACCAGACGACTAAATTAAATCCCGGCTCCCCTCGTTCTGGGAGAAGGGAATCGACAGCTGCTGGATCGAATTGCATTAAAAACTGCGGATACCCTCAATCTTCGAACAGGTTGGCTTCTAATTTGTACACCATTTTATAAATAGGGGCAGGCTCTTTAGAGTATTCTGAAAGTAACTGATAAGATCAATGACAATCACATAGGCTTATCAAACAGAAAAAAAAAGCTATTCAAGCGGACAAACGACGAAAAACATCTATAAAACAAACCGTGAAGGTCGAGTTCCATCAAAAAGCGAAAGTTGCTCGGCGTTCAGAATTTGCATTTCCTCCTCCAATTTGATCTCCGGTTCGCATATAACCTTCAAATACATAGGGAATGAGAAAAAACGAAAGGGATGCAATTAGTGAAATAAGATTCACAGAATCGAATCCACTTACCTTGACGTCACTTTGAGTTGCCTTGCGTTTTTGTATTTTCATACTGCTCCTGGCACCTCTCCATGATTCCCCTAACCACGCCAACTTCCCGCGAGTATACTCGTACTGAAGGTGATAAGAAGATGGTGCAAAGGAAGAAAAGGAAAGAGGGGAAGAAAGAAAAAGGGATAGCGGTGAATGACAACGAGTTGTTTTCATAAATAATTTAAACCAAAACAATGCACATCTTTATGGGGTGAAACCTTTCAGAACTTCGCACTCTTGGCTGCAATGTGGATTCACTGTTTTTTTTTTCAAATTGGTTGATGGAACACTCGGCGACTGAGCTTTCTCCGGAAATTATTCTCAGGACCATCCCCCGACAAAACTATTCACTTTAATCAGTTCCTTATTACGAAGATAAATAGTCTTTCTTCAACTGTGACCCCTGGGGCAGAGGGGAAGGGTGGAGGATTCGAGGTGTAGTAAGTATTGCCAAAATGGCGGTACCAAACTCATCAGATAAATCCGTAACCCTCCGCAGAATCACAAATAGAACTTTCCAACAAAGAGATGACTCTCCATCAAGACATAGTAGGTACATGAAGTAGCAAAGTTACCGATGCACCAATATTTTTTAACCCAAAATGAACTATCATAAATCAATTCGATTCATGAATACTATTTACTAGTTCGATTTTGGAGGCCTGGGAGAGCAGACTTTCCTCCGTTAGGCAATCCATACAGAAAGGTATCGCTCTCATTGAAACAGAAATGGGGATGGCCTTCGTGTTTGATAAAGCCAAGAATTGCTCGGCGCCAATTGATGGGTTCAACGCTATTGAAATTTAGGGAAAATGCGACCATTTTGAGACCGCTAAAATTCCTGGATTGCCATGTTTACAGCAAATAATGTTCGTGCTCAAATTGACTGATGGAAATATTCGGAACGAAAATGAAATACGGTGCACAAATAATTTTGCTCCTTCCTCTAGAAGGCATAAGGGCATCGCGGGAGGGGATGGGTGATCTCGGTTCCAGCCACACTCTGTTACATTGTCAAATCAGACAGAACCTTTGCGCTCGAATCTATTCGTCATGCTTGATCTAGAACCACTTGTTTAAGCAAAAACACCCCCGTAGAAGAAAAAGGCAGCGCAAAGGCAAAAAACTGAAGAACGAAAAGAGCAAACGCAAACTTGAATTGGAAAAATGATCAAACTGTCACTATCTTTTGCAGTATTTCTGACAAGTAGCTATAAACAAACTGTGTTTCGAGTAAACCCACCTCTTCTAGTCGATCGATGGTCCATCTTGTTAAATTTGATAGGCCGTAACCATAATAGCTACATAAAAATGATAGAAAAGCAACTTGAATAGATATGTAGACGAGGCTAGTCGTGTATAGTGCCGGTTTCAATCGCCAAGGTTTGCCGGCCATACCTAAAAAAAGGTTAAATCACTAGCACGCTTGAGATGCTACACTCTAATTCAGTCATTTCGGTCGACGTGAAGGCACACATTTTGCTGAGTAGGACAATGCGGCTCGATGTGGGGATGCAACACTGAAGAGGCTCTTTTGCGGAGAATTCAAATTACTCCGATGACATATTACAGGAAGACATTATAGTACTCATGGCGATCATGATCCGTTCATATATATCTCAGTAGGCGTTTGACTCAAGGGGTATTTGAAAATGATTTTCTCAAGTGAAGTTGTTAGGCTGGTAACAGAGTCCGCGATCCGTCGCACGACGGACCGCAGGAATCGCAAAGGCCCCGTTTGAGTTCCTTCATTGAGATCCAACATATTTGGTGAATATGTGTCACAGCATTATGACACATTTTTCAAAATGAAATTACTAAAAAAGGCACTGTCCCACGCACTGGACACTCGAATAGGTCACCTGATCGCCAATGTTTTGAGCACCAGGGAAACGCATGCTCAAATAAAACGAATTTGTGGAAGAATTACAAATGCTTCTCGAGGAAGCAGCAGGAAGG